ATATATGAAACAATGCGAACGAAGCGTTGTTTCAATCACTTACTTTCTCGGATTTCTAATTGTCGTTTGACTTCGCCGAGTGCCGAAAACAGATCAAGTTTTATACGCGTTTCTGCGCTCAAGCTGTTTTCCAAATGTGCGTTTTTATCTTGCAGCGCATTGAGTGCAGAGAGTAAAATTTCACACTCTCTGTGGTTCTCTTTACAACGCGCGGCATCGTTTTCCAATGCGTTACATCTGAATCAACATATAATATACGATATTTGCGCTCCGTTTATTTTACATTGTAAAATTTATAATCTAAAATAATTTTATACTTTTATGCTAACAAATTTATGTTCTTACCTTTCTTCTTTCAATTTGAGTTCTCGGCGCAAATTTTTAAGGTCCTGTTCCATTTGAGATCTTCGATTTTTACACGCGTCTGTGCATTCTTGCCTGATAAGTGGAGGTGGTGGTGGTGGAATTGCAGAGCGCGCTTCTTCGGCAGCTCGTCGTGCCCTTCGTTCGGAGAGCAAGGATGCTTCGCATATGTTACGTTGCTTTCGCTCTTCTGCAATTCGCTTTTCCAATGATGACATTGTTTGCTTATCCAATTGACGTGCCGTCACTAAACCATGTAATCTATAATATTAAAATTTACATTACAGAATTTGTTTGATTTTATTAAAAAATCGAAATAAAAATTTTCTGTCTTCCTTTTCTGGGTACATTTTTCATGTTTAATTTTAAAAAATTAAAAGAATTAATGACTATCATATGTCCTATTAAATATGATACTCTTGTGTTTTAATATTAATATATGTAGAAGAGAATGTAATGATCAATAATTCCAATATATGTCCAAATCGTAACAATATAAGATAAGCATGATTAATAATATAACAAATATATATTTTAATTTAACTAAAATTTGAATAAATTATTTAAAAAAAAATTTTATGATTTATTTAGATATATAAATCTATATGTACATCTTTTCTGTTCAGATACTAACACGAATAGAAACAGATAACAAAAAATGTCTTCTTTTTATTATAAAAAAAATGAAAAAACAAAGCAAAAGGATTAACAATAAATTTATAGATTATATTATTATATATGTTAACATTACATATAGTTTGTATATTTAAAATTCAAATTTAGAAATTATAATGGAAAATATAGAAAATAAAATTTTCAAATATTGTATAAAGCATACACTAACTGATAGATTCTTTTCATATGTAATATAAATTTATAGTCATATGTAATATAAATTTATAGTAACATTATAAAAATAATTTACAATTATTAAATAATTCATAAAGTTATTAATTATTGAAAAATTTACTTACTTGCTTTGCAATTGATCGTTATCATGTTGGAGTTGTTGAATGTCACCCTTAGCTTGTCTCTCTCCATTGAGCAAGACATTGATTTGCGATCGTAATTCTTGTTCCATCTGTCGACTTGATTGCAAATCTGACTTCAAACGTTTTATGTCTGCCTCGAGCCTGCGACACACCAGTAACCTATTTCAACGACAAATCATGCTGAAGAAACTGACAGGAAGTCTACTAGATGGATACAAGACGGTACAGGATTTGTGAAGTACGAATACCACACACAGATTTGTAACAGTTTCAATCTGTGCCTTCGAAAATATGTTGGATTAGCAGAATTTCAATAGAAACTTATAATGTATTTACAAGAAAAATTCTTCTCATATAATATACCTTTGATAATAATCGTCTTGCTGTTTCTGTTGCTCTGCTGTGATCTCACTCGTATTTTTAACCTGTCGAGTTTTACGTTCCCGTTGGGCATTAGTAGTCGACGATGAATCTCGACTTTCTTTCACGTTATTCCATTTTCCTGCTACCGAACCGTTCGTTTGTGATTTTATTGTAGTATGTCCGCAACCCTTAATAGATTTGTCCTTTTCTACTTCATTTATGTCAAAATCATTTACAGATCTGTTTTAAGAAATTGTGTCGATAAGTATTTTACGTGAAATTAAAGTGTGATTGAAGAGAAATACATTTTTGAATATGAAATCGACCATACCCCACCCTTTCGATGAGTTGTATGTCACTGTGCGATACTGTACTTCCATTACTGTGTATAAATTTCTTGTCGCTTTTGTCCGACGGTGAATTATTTGATACATTGTGTTTATTATGCTGCTCTTCCTGCTTTTCACTCTTGTCTAAGGATTTTCTATGAGTACTTTTGGTAGTAGCAGTCTGTGTTTGTGATGTGACTGGGCTACTAGTGTGTACTCCGCCATTTTGTACGTTCGTTTCTATAGAATTGTTATTGCCCTCTAAAAGAACAAGCAGAAACATAAAAATGCGTGTAATCACGGAAAGTATAGCAATCTGTATTAACATGGGACAATAGTTGATAATAAATACAAGCTACCTCTGCTTTTTTCAGGGCTTGGATTATATTGTGGACTCAATTTGTGTGTTTGAGTTTTCACATGTTGCTCTAACGACGCAGTGACCTGCTGTGTCTGTGGCTGCATTTGCGGTTGGATTTGCTGCATTGACATAGCTTGTTGCTCTAGAGGCAGTGCTTGCTGCAGTAATTGTAGGTAGAACTCGTTCTCCTTTGCCACATCTTTTTGTTTTCTCTATCGAGAGCAAGAATGAATTGAAATAAATATAATCGCCATGATAAATATCTTATTGTACAGAAGATATTTGTAATAAATCAATGTAAAATTGTTAAAGATTACTAACCTGCCTCATTCTGTAGCCTACATAGCTCTTGAAACCAAAGCCCAATGTAACTACAGGATAGCCAATGCTAGAAATACGCAATGCAGAAAACTTTACTTGGAGCACAAATGGACATAAATAGGTTATCCTATTAGATTTATATATATCTAATATACACGAAGCATAATCTTTTGATGATATATTATCTATAAAAAAAAAATCAAAGATAAAACTGTTACCAATGTGCTGCAAACGGCCGACAGAGGTCTAGGTGAAATGGCATATGACGCAAGTCACGCAACCGCACTGCTGCTTCTATATATAGAAATAGTAGCCACAGCATCACAGTTGGTAGACACACTCCTTTATCTATTTAAAATATACATTTCAATTAATCTCTTACATCTATTAAATACATCTATTAAAAATTAGAATTCTTAAAAATTGAATTCCTGCAAGTATGTCATGGACCAGTAGTATAAAGGAATTACATTTTGACAGATGTACATTACATGTTTGTCCATATTTCAAATACATTTATTTTCTATGTACCTGTATGCCAGACGTATTGCACCCAAACATAAGTGCTGGCAGCAAAAAACAGCCAATGCACAGGGATAAAAAAGAAGCAAATCATGTCTGACGTAAGTGCAATACAAATAAAAAATACAGAGAAGGCCTAAAACAGAGAGAAAAAAAGAGATAATGAGATTTTATATATATCCATTAATGTCCAATTACATGATCTTGATAATTGCATAACACACTTACTAAGCCTTGATATTTAAAGGAATCGTAAACGCTTCGGAGGAGTAGCCAGAACGGCCACAAAAATTCAAAACGGAATTCCAAAATGAAGTCTGCCAAGATCACCATGGCCCATAGTAGAAGAAACTTCAGATAAAGCAAGGTACTGAAACAAATATAATTATTTTAATACATGTTATGCTTGCCATATGCTAGATTACAACTCACAGTGACCGATACATCTGTATGTTTCTATATTTACTTTAGTGTTTTATAGTTCAATTAGTACATACTTGTACTTGAAATAAAATAAATATACATTTGAAAAAAAAACAAGAAAGAAGGTTTTTAATACAGTCCAGGTCAATGACAAAAAACAAATTGTACTGACCTTTGTGAGCCATCCATATTTTCTTTCAAAATATTCGATAAATATGTTTGGATCACAAGATACGAGATACCAAGTTGGTGTCATCGAAAACACCAGAGATCTTACATAACAAGATCTTATGCTCTCCAAGTAAAAAAAAGAGAACAAGAAAGAAAGGTCCGTTGAACTATCGCATTTGTTTTACTGTTATCGCGGTGTTTAACCGCTTGTAAGCCATATACAACAAACAAGAGTTGGAACATAAGATGCTGTATATATATGTGTATATGTATGTGCTAAATATGTGATGGATGCGTTTGGACGAGAGACTGCGGGATGAAAGGAAAAAAAAAAAGAAAGAAATAGAAAAGCGGCGAGAACGAAGGAGATTCGTATGTCCTTCGAACATCCGAATCGTAGGACGACAGGTAAATGTCAAGCGAGACAAGAGCGGCGTCGATTCGGCGTCGCGGTTCCTCGACATTCGCGCGCGCGATCGTTGCCACTGCCGTTATTATCATCATCAACATCATGATCATAATCATAATTATCATGCTCGTCATTATTATGGTCGTCGTTATCATTATTATCGTTATCGTTGTCGTGACCTACAACACTCGCGTCTTTCCGCGAGGTAGGCG